GCAGGTACAGCCAGGCTGACGCTCTGAAGTACGTCGGGATCGAGCGGGAGTTGGAGATCGCCTGACTGGGACTTGTACCTCCGGTGGATCCGCGACACAAAGGCCTTACACTCAAACACAAACACACCTTCACTTCAGGAAATCCAGACGACTCGTCACGATGCTAGACAGCTTCAGGAAAACTGGGAATATTTGAAGCCGAATTTTGATGCTGTGTTTTTTTTTTTCTTTTTTAAAATACTTTTCATATCTGTCTCGTTTTTCTTCTGTCAAACAAATCTTCCTCCTCTGTGGATGCGGGAGTCTGGGATTCATAAATCTTCCCTCAGCTGAAGGTGCACGCCTACAAACTGACTCTGTTTTAAATCTCCCAAGTGTTTGACGGCGAGAGGAGACGAACCCAACGACTCGTGTGCTTTTTCTAAAGCTTCAGGGACCAAACCTCCTCCAGCAGCCGCGGTCGCCCCGCTGCCTGCACTGTGGGGCCGCTGTGTTTGTACTGCAGTGTGACCTGAACCAGCCACACTCTCCACTGTGCCACTGTCTGTAACACGGAGGGAGCGCTCACAAAGCAGCAGCACACCAGAACCAACGCAGCTCGGTGCTGTTTTAGGTCCCAGGGTGAATCTGTATCGTTATAAACTGAATGTTTTTAGGTTTTGGGCTGTTGTGTAGACAATGTTTTACTTTAATAAATGAATTAATCAGCGATACTGGAACTTATTTTAGGAAAAGTTTGTTTATTAAAGTGTTGAAAACCGAACTTTGGCTTTAGATGATGATGAAGTAACTTGTTTATGTTTGTGGTGAATCAGTTAATCGTTTTTAATAACGGACAATGTCGACCAACAGTCCAAAACCAGAATCATCAGTTTCCACTGATGTAAACAGATAAAAGCAGTAAATCCTCAGATTGAATTAAAACTTTAAATGTTGTTTTGTCCAAAGAGAAAACATTCGAGAAGAACCAGCAGATTTCTGATGAATCAATAATCAATAAGTTGCTGATTAATTAAGATGCCAGGCTTTTATTTTGGTGAACTCGTGATGCCTTCAGGAAGACATGCCCCCTCTCCCCAGCAGGGTTCTGGTTCTGGTTCTGGTTCTGGACTCTGCTTTGTGACGCTGCCTCTGCTTCAGGTGCTAATGTGAACCAGCACTAGTTCACCACTGAGGAGACTCTTCGTCTGCTCGTGTTCGTCACTGTCCTGTTGTGCTGCTCTTTTACCAAACTCAACCAAAACCACACACACATACCCCCCCCTCCCCCCCCAGTTCTCCCAGCAGCACCGTGCTCACTCACGCAGTCTGGTTCTGATCCGGCTCAGATCGAGGACAAACGATTCTTTTATTAAACAAAAATCTACTAAACAGATTTTCTTTCACGTTCTTTTTTTAACACGAACCTTTTTATATTTCTGCCGTCGGATAAAAACAACCGATGTTTCCTTTTTCTTTCTCGGAGTGAACCAGAACTCTCTCGACAACTCGATCTGAATAAATCTTTACATTCCTTCCACCTTCGTCCCCGACAGCTGAACTCAGATCAGATCAACGTGTTACAGTTATTGTTCCTCAACTCCTCGTTAAACAGACGAGTGGAGTGCATGCTGGGAGTGCGTTGGCTCTCTGCTGTGCCTTCAGTCTGTCTGTAGATCAGCAACGTGTCTGTGGACTCTGCATGATGAAGTTTTAACCCTCCTCCTCCTCCTCCGAGCGACTGTACTGCCTCCTCACGTGATGTCCAATCAGTATCATATAATCTGAATCATGTTCCTCGTTAAATTCACTTTTTAATAACCAACAATCACATTTACACTCTGGCTCTCCTCTGATGTGAATCCTGGTGCTTTACAAACCCACAGACTGTCTGAACTCTCCTCCTCCCGCTGAGGAGACGCTCCCGTTGCAGCTCCACCTCCTCGCTCTACGCCTGTAACTTATTACACGCTTTCAGAGAGACGTCTCGGCTGCTGTGATGTCTGTAGTTGATGGATGAAAGACTTCAGGGGGGGCTCTGAAACCCTGGTGCTTCTCTCCTTCTCGGACTTTAACTGCTGATTCAGACGAGCCTTCCCCATGGTAGTGATTCCCTCTGTGTTGACGCATTCAAAGACCGCGTAAACCAGAGACTCTGAGCCATCAGTGAGGCTGATTGGAGGGCTGGGTAACGAACGTAAGAGCCAATCAGAAAGCAGACAGACCTCCTGACGTATCTGAAAGCTTTCTGAACGATCAGTTTGATAATAAAGTCTAAATAAGAAACGTTGGCTCAGAGTTACCCGGCCCCGGCTGAAGTCCAAACTGCAGGTTATCGTTTCAGACGTTCACTTTTCACTATTCTCATCAAACCAGGACCACTTTTCTCCTCCGATCACACAGGTGCTGATTTTGTAATGTTTACAGGGATTTTGTTGTTCAAAGTGATGCAGATTAAAATATTATAAATGGTGCTTTTTGTTCTTTGTTTTTACTTTAAACTGACTCTGAGCTGAGCAACTGCTGAAGACAGGAAACACTTATTTTATACTTTAACCTTTAAAGTGAATTAAACACTAAAGTTACAAAGTCTTCATGATCTCACAGGAAGGAGCTACTGAACAACAACTTCAGATTGTTTAAATCTCTTCTGTTAGTTTGTATTTTGAGGATAATGTGATATGAATCAGGTTCCTCCTCCTGACATTTAAAACAATCAACCACATCTGAACAGAAACAGCAGGATTATCTCAGGTACAGTCCACATGTAGTGAAGGAATCTGGAAATACTGATATTTGTATAAAAGTTAAAGGTTTCAAACATTCAGGTATCGACACATGAATAAAAACACACGTATGAACCTCGTGCTGGATGATGAGTCTGAGAGAGAGGCGAGCGTTAGAGAAATCTTTCCTTGTTTTTATTTATCACACATTTAGAAAATGAACCACACTATACAAATGTCCACCGTTCAGTAATGAAACAGGCCTCCTGCACGAACCCAACCGACCTCAAACCAAAACAGACAACTTCAGCAGATAAAGAAGCGTCGCGGCGGCTCTAAACTCACCACCTCCTCTTCCTCTTCCTCCTCCTCTTCCTCCTCCGGTTCAGTCGCAGACTTTAATTACAGGACCGGCGTCGATTTCGCGTCGTCGTGCGGTGGACTGCGTCGGCTGCCCAGTGACTCGACTCTTATTTTAACTTTAATCTTTTACTGGTGGTCACTGTGGTGCAGGTAGGCAGTAGCATGCAGAAACCTTTGGATGCGGCTCTCCTCTGATTGGCTGAAGGCTAATTCATTACGTTTGCGCTATGTAAAGAAGGGAGCAGGGTTTGTTTATTCCTCTTAGAGTCTGTGGTTGTTATTTACAATATGACAACAAGGAAGTGTGTGTGTGTGTGTGTAAGTGTGTGTGTGTGTGTGTGTTTGAGTCCTACAGATGGGACGGGACAGGGCGAGCGTGTAGACGGGGTTTCCCAGTCTCAACAGGAGGGGTTTTTTTTTTTTTTTTGTTCCTTCATCGCTGAAGGGAGAGCAGAAAGTTCACACCCTCCTCCCCCTCAGGTTGGTGGTTGGTTGTCATATCAGGGCGGTCACATGGTCAGCGACACACTCACAACATGTCCGCCGCTCAGAGGGATCCTCACTTTATTACTCAGACATAAAATTAAAAAAAAAAAAAA